ACCACAAGAGGAATATTGATAACGACTAAAGCAATGAAAAGGATCTCACAATGACGAATAGGACGACGAATAGGAACAACGGTAGGAAAAAGCTCGATGCAAAGGTAAATAAGGATGAAAATAGAAAGAAGATGAAACATATACCGCAGAAAAAAGGAGAGATAAAAATGGGAACATGGAACGTAAGAAGCATCAATGGAAAAGAGGTAGAACTTGTAGAAGAAATGATCAGAAAAAAAATAGAAATATTAGGAATAACGAAAAAAACATGAAGGGAAGAGGTTTTAAGAAGATACACAAAGGATATTGGTTATTTTGGGTACGAGCTGATGCAAAGGAGCGAGCAAAAGAAGGCGAAGGGGTAATAATTGTACCGAATAGACTACAATACGTAATAGAAGAAACATATGTTAACCAGAGAATATTATCGCTCAAAATGAAACTGATAGACGAGGAAATATGGACAATAATAACTGCCTACGGAGTAAATAAAGACGCAAAAAAGAAAAAGAAGGATAAATTCTTCGAGGTGCTCGAGGAGCAAATTGACAATGGGAAAGAAAATATAATTGTAATGGGGGATCTAAACGGTAGAGTCGGAAATAATAGCAATGGAATTGAGGAATGCATGGGAAAAGAAGGAGAAGAAATACTAAACAAAAATAGTGAAAGAATAATAGAAATATGTATGGAGAATAAACTTGTTATAACAAATACAAAATTTAAATATAAAAAAGTACCCAAACACACGAGAGTACAAGAAAGCAGAAATGAAAAATCAATCATAGATTACTTTTTGGTAAGTAGCAACAAATGGAAAAGAGTACAAGGCACGAAAGTGAAAAGAGGCTCAGGAAGAAAAGGAAGAAAAGAGGAGAAAGGTAGTAAATGAAAAAGTAAAAAGCTACAAATTAAAAGAAGATAGATATAAGAAGATATTCCAAGAAAAATTAGACAATATTTAACTTGAAAATTTATTATTTCTTCTCTTGTGAACATATTTTTTGGGTTTTATTTATTTTTAATATTTAATTTTTAACAATTAAATAATGTTGCTGTAAGGTTGAATGCTCGAATAAATGAACTTTGATCAAATAAAAGGCAGATATCGAGCACAGTTTTATTAATTTAATCTTGCCCAAGTATTTTCGCTCGTTAGAACATCTTCAGGGGCATTTCGTCAATTGTGGCCTATCCAACAGGAATAAAATGTTATAAACATAAAATTACACATCACACTACATTACGCAAGGACAAACACTTTAAAATTTTTAAAAATAGGCGAAGCTACATTATATACGGAAACCAGAGACAGAATCTGGTTTTCATCAATATCCAAAATATCTATAAGTATACAAATTGTATTATATATTTTTTAATTCTCCTCTAAAATTCATGACTAAAATATCAATATCCAAAATGTATATAATTATACAAATTTTATTATATATTTTTTAATTCTACTCTAAAATTCATCACAAATTTCATTTTAGAATATCGTTAAAATTGGTGTAATACTTTGTTACTCGCCTCTAATTAAATATGAACAGCAGCTTCATACACTGCTTTGATCTGCAATAATAGTTATAATCTATTGCGCTTGACATGTTGGAAGCCGTAGTGATTGTTTGCATGTATTCGCTTGTAACATTTTGAAATTGCATTCACAAGAGTATAAATGAAAATACCGATATAAATTTTTCAATTAATTAAACAAGAGGTGCGCATGAATTTCAAAGAGATTTAAATTGTTTAGCGTATAAAAAAATGACTTTTTAACATGCGTAAAAGAATTAGAGAATTATCAGGAATGAGAAAAACACTTTAAACTAGGGTAGTAATAGATGAAAGTGGTGCACTTATAACAGATATAAACCAAAAAATGCAGAGATGGACACAATATGTAGCACAACTTTTTGAAGACAAATAGAGAACAGAAGCACCAAAAGAATTTAAGGATGATACTGGGCCTGACATTATACGAGAAGAAATTAAATATGCAATGAAACAAGCTAAAGGTGGTAAATCTCCCGGGCCTGATGAAGTTTCTATCGAATTACTTAAAATTGTGAATACTGAATCTATTGATCTTCTTTTGGATCTATTCAATACCATATAATATAGAACAGGTATAATACCTAAAGAATGGCTTTAATCAACATTCATACTGCTGTAAGAACTATCAATATGTGCTAAAAAATAAGTATAGTTAGTAGACCTAAAGTAGAGTTAAAACCTACTTTGACAAAAACATTTTTTTTATTACAAAAATTGCGATTTCTTTTTGTTTCGTCATAACACTTAAAAAAGTCATTCGCCGTTTAGAAATTTGGATCGTATGGGAAGGTTATCTCCGCTACGAGAGCCTATTTTACAGACCTCTCGTATTTTTTAGACGGGTTAAATAAGATGGAGCATCGCTAGGTCAAGTGTATCGTGCTAAAAGAAGGCTATAACGAGAAATAAATCACTATTTTTCAAAAATTCTCGTTCTTCTGTTGCAGGCTAAATCGCCTTAAGGATTTCAAAATGTGGTACTATGGAAGAGTTTTAAAAGTTTGCTGGGTGGAGAAGATTCGAAACTCCACAATACTAGAACGTCTCGGCAAGACTACTGAGATCATAAAAAGCATCAAGCAGAGAAGGCTGGAGTACTAAATCACACAATTTCGATATCATGGAGGCGTTATTAGATTAAACAGGGGAGCAATCAGAGATATGGTACAGTATAAGTTAAGGAGGGCAAATTATTAGTTTGTACAGTTTTCTTCTTCTTCTTTGGGTGCCATGTCCGTATTCAGACGTTGGCCGTCATCATGTTTACAATTTCCTGAAACCTTTCTCTGTCGGCTGCTGCGCAAAATAATTCTTCTACTGTGAAACCACACCATTGTCTAATATTACGCAGCCATGAAAGTTTCTTTCGACCAATCCATCTCTTTCCTTCCACTTTTCCTTGTATTATAAGGCAAAGTAAATGGTATTTAGGTCCTCTAATTATATGGCCGAAGTATTCTGTTTTTCTCCTCTTTATGGTGTTTATGAGCAGACGTTCTGAATTGATCATTTGAAGAACTTCTTCAATGGAAGTGTGCGAAACCCACGATATCTTTAGGATTCGTCTATAGCACCACAATTCGAATGCTTCTAACTTGTTTAGCATTGTGGTTTTTAACGTCCATGTCTCACAACCATACAATAGGATCGACCACACATAACATTTCAGGACCTTCTTACGAATATTTATTGACAGGTTTCTGTTGCATAAAACTGGTTTCCAGGTCATAAAAGCCTTACGTGATATTTCGATCCTGGATATTATCTCTTCATCAGAGTCACAATTTACATTTAACCAGCTGCCAAGGTATTTGAAATGATTTACCCTTTCTATCTCTTCTCCATTAAGAGAAAGCAGACCTTGATCTATATGGATCTTTCCAACTGTCATCCACTTTGCCTTTGAAATGTTGATCTTTAGGCCTCTCCGATAACTTGCTTTACTGACTAGATTTAGTAATGTTTGGATATCTTGTAAACTTTCTGCAAGAATGGCTGTATCGTCAGCGTATCTAATTTTGTTGATTACTTCTCCACCTAGTCTTACTCCCTCTTGTCTGTCATCCAAAGCCTCCCTAAAGATTTCTTCAGAGTACAGATTAAAAAGAGTGGGTGACAAAACACAACCCTGCCGTACTCCACGTTTGATGGGTATTTTTTCAGTGGGACTGTCTCCAATTTGGATAGAAGCTACTTGATTGTAATATAAGTATTTCAGCAGTCTTATAGCATAGTAAATGAAATGAGGTTGAATGTTCAAATAAATGAACTTTGAAAATAAGGCTATTATCGAGCACAAGTTAATTAAATCTAGCCCAAGTACTTTCGCTTAAAATAGCACCTTCAGGGGCATTTCGTCAAAATAAGAACTATCCGGCAAGCGTAGAATGCGGAAACATTAAAAATAACATAAATTATACAAAAACACTACACTAAAACGAGGACAAACAGTTTAAAATTACTTCTAAGCTACATTCTCTGTCAGTCTCTGGGTATACCAGATAGAATGTATTAAATACGCGAATATTATACACTATAATATATTTATTATAACGTTCTTAACTACATAATAAAATGTAATAAAACAATCAAATTTTTCCGTCGTATTAGACTGATCTTACTTTTAATAAGTTGAGCTATATTGACCCCTCAATATGCCTTAAACTTTCAATTACTGTTTTACTAATGTAGACCTATGGAGCGAAAATACTGCCCATAACGTAAAAAGATAATTCGAAAGGCTCAAAGAGCGATACATCGTGCAATGTTGGTTGTTTATTTGAAAAACAAGATCTTAAACTGACAGATATAACAAACATTGGAAGTGACTAATGATGTAGAGACTATAAAAATACCAAATTAGTAGTTAAAATGGTTCCACCTTCAATCTTTCTTCTAGAGTCTCAACCTCTCTTTTGATACAAAAGTAAGAATGCTGCGATGCTACATCTCCTTTGTCCTTTTTTATGGTGTTAAATCGTGGACCTTGAACAAAGATATGTGCAGAAAACTGGAAGCATTTGAGATGTGGCTATATCGGAGAATACTTAAGATCTCGTGGACTGACCGAGTCATAAATTACGAGGTTCTCAGGAAAATAAAAAAGAACCAAGATGTACTGACCACCATCAAATCTCAAAAGTTTCAACTCTTCGGAAGTATTATGCGAAATAAATCCAGATATGCTCTCCTTCAAGCCATCCTGCAAGGAATAATATTTGGAAAACGTGGTTCAGGAAGAAGAAGAACATCTTGGTTAAAGAACCTTAGAATCTGGTTTAATACAACATTTATGCAGACATTCGTAACGGATAGGCACTTCAAGAAGAAGAAGAGTTGAAATGATGCATAATAGATATACGAAATGGATACTCACGTGGAGATTTTCCGTTTGTTTCTAGTGTCTCTTTAAAATGTTTTACAATTAAAATTTGTGTTATATTTCATAAACCATCATTTTGTACATCTAATTTAATAGTATAATTAATTGCTTTTACCTAAGATAAATTTAATAATTTTATCCGAATTTAAAGAAAATACTATTTACCAGTATATTGTCTTCGATTCTAACGACCTCTTCAGCCCGATCCAGGCTAAATTGTCTTCGAAGTAATTTTCCTACCCTGTGTTTTGGACTTAAGCATTTATAGTGATTGTATGGGGTACTTAGGTCATCTTCGTCAATTTTTCTTGGTCTTCTGAACCCCGAAAGAGAAGTAGTTGAGGCACCGAGAAGAGCAGCAGCAACTTCTGATGCTGAAACTGGTGTTCCTAACGGTACAGGCACTTCACTTGATGTACTCTTTACCATATGGCCATCTTGTCTGAAAATAAAACTATTTGTTAGTTAAAGGTAAAGCAAAATATTTTAAGAACACGTTTTGCAATATTATATCTAGTATATAGAGCATACAGAATTCGGAAGCGAAAAACAGAAAAATTTGGTCTGGAAAACCTGGTATCAATAAGATTTATTGGAGGTGTAAATGGGATGTTAATTAAAAAAATATATTAATATTATTACCAACATTTTAAGTAATTAAATGGGTCATATTCGTTCATCAAAATGTATGAATCAATAGACACTCTGAGTCTATACACACAAATTAAATTTTAAACATTTGCCTTTTTCAAAATGTTTTCACTATTGTCCACTTCACTGATATTAAATTTATTTAAACGTAATTTTATTAAATTTTTCCATTTCATCGCAATATCTATATTTAATAAAAGACTAACAAAATGAACGCTGTAAAAATGTTATTCGAGTAGCTTTTACGTGCCATTTTTACTCTTTTGCGACCGTTTTGTTAATAAAAGGTTTTACTGCAACTATGTTTTGTTCCGCATCGCATAATCACGTGAATTATGGGAATGATTTTCAGGTAATAGATGAGTTTCTTGCTTATTTTGTAATGCTTCAACTAATTTAATAACTTAATGGAAAAGTTAGTTGGTAAAACTTATCTTCTGGATAATAAAAAGAACTAATATATATATATATATATATATATATATATATATATATATATATATATATATTGTTATGATGTGTTGTTGTTGTATGAGCAATGAGTAAATTTGAATGATATATGTAAGTATAGGGTTTTTATCGCGGTTCTCAAAGAATTAGTTTGTAAGTTCTTTTTTAAATTATCTTTATTATAAATATTATGAAACAAACCTATCTATCTAATATAAGCAATATCAATTTAAAACAATCGATCTAAAATTTGAAATTCTTACAATTATTAAATTATTAACAAAATTTGGTACCTTCTTTCACTGAACGCCCAAAGTTTTTCCAAAATTAAAGTTATTATCACCACTCGATATCTTCTTACTAAGCCTTGGTTATCCAACTATGTTAATATGTACTTTGAAATATACTGGATCTTGTGGTTGTATTATTGAATGCTTATTTCAATGAATTAACTTCAAAACTGTCACTATATTACTGTAGTAATAATTAATCTCCAACTGTATTTAACTTAATAATTCATTTAACTTAATCAATGCCTTCTTCTAGCATTGAATAATCTCTTCATAACCTCATAAATACCTGACTTAATAATCCTTAAATTGTTATAACTAACTCCTCAATAATAATCTTGTAACTGATTTAATATCTTCTAACTAACTCACTTAACTCAATTAATAATCTTCTTGTAACTAAATTCTTGAATTATAATTTTACTAACTGATAACTGAACTGGTAACTGAGCTTAACTGAACTGAACTGAACTCTAACTCTAACTCAAACTGACTTATAACTGACTGACTGACTGACTAAACTCTAACTCATAACTAAACTGCTAACTAACTCTCTCGCCAAATTACATGGCTTTTTATATCCTTTCATTGTTTCCAGAATATTCTAGCAATAAATAATCTTCGAATCATTCTATTTTTTCTCCTTGAAAATTCTGGAATGGTTTTTTGTCTGTTATGTATTATGTATACAGTCCCATTGACATTTCTAGAGTCTCTATCTATAATTTACTTGACTTTAGGCTCTCCAGATCAGAACTACACTATTATATGTAACTTAAACATTTATATGAACTATATTTTTACAATTTTACATCCACAATTATATTCTAAATTAACATTCCAAAAATAAATAACTTTTTGACTTTGACACTACAGTGTATGTTTGGTTGCATATGCTGACTCAAAAATATCTAATATTAAATAAAATAAAAAAAATTTCTTAAATTTAATTCTTAAAAATACCCTCATATAATTATTTTTTAATAATATTATCTAATATATAACTTATAAATTATGTCTTCAATTACTATCTAAATAAATCTACTAATCAACACTGCATATCTGGTTGTATATATTTCTAAGTTAATTTATTGTATTTCTGTTTTCAATATAATATATATATATATATATATATATATATATATATATATATATATATTATATATATTTATATAGAAAAAGGTTAATGCGAGTTGATAGTAAAATAAAGGTAAAAGATATCGGCATAGCTCGCAACAAAGAAAAAAATATATAATAAAATGTGTGTATAAAATGATAAGCAACCGTATATACGTATTTCTGACTATTGGTCGTCTTCAGTACGGTGCAGCCAAGTTAGAAAAAGGGCATATTAATTTGAGAAAGGATCACTACAGGAGCAATGCGACCAATTTATGGCAATAATGTTCTCCAAGATATAAGGATAATAAGACTCCAAGGTTTCCAGAGCAACAACCAACACATCCGCGGAGGAAGCTATTCTACATGAGGAAAAATACCGTTTGGAACGTTTCAAACAACAGGAAAAAGGTGTTTCAAACAACAAGAAAATGTTATTTGGCCATGATTGGCAATTGCAAAACTAAATAAAAATCTAAATAGGTATCAAAAATCAAGTATCAATAAAGAAATATTACTTTTTTTCTTGTAGACAAAAAAAGCTTATTAAAGTTTTGTTAATTTTTTTCTAGTCATTTTTATCTGCATTATCGTCAAGTTGGTACAATAATCGACAAAACAACAAAACAACATGATAGTATCAATAAATTGTTTATTTTCCATGGGGTAAAGTTTTGAAATTGATGTTATTGCTGCAATATAGATTTCGTTCGTGAACAGTTAATAACACTCTGTATTAACATAGAGTAAACAGTAAACAACAATATTATTTTGAAGCTATTTTTTTCTGACATTTTAAAGTAATTACTTAGTAACAACTTTAAATGTGATTAAAGTTAATTTAAATTAAAGGTTAAAGTTAGTTTATTGACGTTTCAATTTCCACTTCGGAAATCGTTCTCAAAATACAAACATTAGTAAATTAAACAAATATTGTTTTTAGTTACTTGGTGAAAAATTCTTCTAATAATTTAATTTTATCTGACTTATTTATATTGACAATTCAGACATACATTCAAATTTTTTAAAGTAGACGACTTTAAAATAATATTGCCAATATTGTTAAGTTGCGTTACTGGGATGGCTTTATAGTCAGTTTTTATCTCAAAAAAAAAAGCATAACATGAGATTCCATAGAAAATTATGAGGGAAAACCAGTAAAAAACCTCATAATACTATCCCGACATGGTAAGTAATTGATTGTGCATTAAGTTTACTTTCAATTGACGCCAAATTCTGATTTTATATGTTTGTTATTTAAAAAACATAAATGATGTTGCCTCTATATGTTACTGACTTATTAACACTGTTTTTTTACTTTTAATAACTTTCTCTTTTAATATGGGTAACCAGATCCTACTACATTCTGCCCAGGGATTTTAGCATAATTAGACAACGTCATTTTAAATATTTTTACTCACATGTAGAAGGTTCCTTAAGCGGTCTCACTTATTATTTTTGTATGTACAATATAGATTCACCTTTGGTATAATTATATATTCGTAATAGGCTGAAGAGATAGTCGTGGTGCGTCACGACGCCGTGGCTCTATAGCATGAAAACCTATAAAACTGGTGCGTTTCGTTCGCTGCCTAGTAATGAAGTGCGTATGTCTTGAGACTTGAGACGGCCAGAAAGAACCCTCTAGCCGTTACGTTACTATTGTATTGCGATTTTAAATGGCGATAATTTAAGTTAATTGTCCCGGTAGTAGGATACTTTACATCCGTTTCTTTTGTGAACAAAATACAAAAGAGAAAGCCAAATTACTTGTAATTAAAACATAATATATGAGATAGCCAGTTTAACAATTTTACGAAATAACAGGAAGCAATGTATTTTTACAAAGTCGTTAGAATACAGCATTGAATTAGATCACAATATATAAAAGAAAAATATTAAATGTAAAAATATAAAAAGGAATAGTACATACTTTCCCAATAATATATTTTAGGAACGCATGTGCTTGTTTTTAATTCACAGAGGCAGTAACAAAATTACTAAATAACAAGCAGTAAAAATAAAATATTTCGACTGCCACTGAAAAAATTTAAGAGTTTTACATACCACGATCTTACTTAGTTGTGCAATATAGTTTACTATAGCAATAAAACCACGTATTAGCTTACAACAATAATACTTTTTATAAAATTACTTTCGTTTTATCCTAAGTCTCATTTTAAGGGTTAAATTGAATTGAAACAGAATTATTGAAGGACTATCTCCAACCCACATGAGTTCCATTTCATTTACGAGAAGAAATTATGGTCGCTACCCTCGTAAAAGTTTTTTTACCCGCTTGAGTGTAGACTTTATAGGTTGTTGCATAAAATAGGGTTACGGCACATCGTCATTGGGACTATAATCGTGAATTTCGCGAGTATGTTTTTAACTGAGACTGTGAACAACAGATAACACAGTATTAGTAGAATAATGAAAAGTTATAATTTGAGTAAATAAACCAAAAATATCTGAAGTTAAAAATAATATATATTAACAAAAATCTAGTACCGTCTTCATATTTTATTTCTTTATTCCGTTTGGAGTACCAGAAATTAAATTCAGTACAAATTTTGACCCTGATGAACGGCATGTGGAATGCAACCTTAGATTCCCTTGCCGAGTAATTTATCAAGCTGTTTGATTTGTACTCACTTTGTGAATACTGTATGTGGTAGAACGATGAAAAGCAGCGTCTAATCAGTTTTTATATCGGGATTTTGTAGCCAGAGGATGGTCGCTGTATATGCGTTGAACGAGGATACTTGTGGTGCGGAAGCTTATGTGGTTCTGTATATTCCACAAGGTACTGCTTCCTATTTACGTAGTTTAAACGTATAGGGTAGTCCAGGGATTAGTCAGGAAAACGTACCGTAATAAATTAGGTTTTCAAATTGTCGTCTTTGGCGGCCGGTACAAAATTGCGTATACATATTTTCTTAAGTAATTTAATCTATTAAAAGCTTTTGTGCTCTTGGGAGAATTAAATATAAGCGGTTCTCTGAACTTAACATACATTATGAGTTAACCAGTTTCAACGTAGGAATTTACAAATGTGAAAGGAGATCTATCCATATAAAAGGCTATGATGACAGGTCTCACCGTTTGTCCAGTAAACTAACGGCGCCATCTACGAAAGAAATACGAACTACCACATTTTAATAATATTATGAAATAATACGTTTAGTTAATAATACGGTATTAATTACATATTAGTAAATTTATTAATTAATTAAAAAAAAAATAGGAAGAATTTAATACAAACTAATTTAAAGCTGTATATTAGTTTAGATATAAAATCCTATCGCCATCTGAACAAAGAAATCTGGATTAATTAAATTTGTCGAAAATTGCTAAAGATATAGGTTACTGTAATTGTAAAGTAAGATCAATGACGCATAATATATATTTATTATATGTCACTTGGTAAGAATAAACATACATTTACTATAAAAATAAAATCACGTTTAACAAACGGCAACCCTTTACCAAAATAAAATAAAATAAAAACTAAATAAGATTAAATAAAATTAAATGAAGGTAAATAGAACTAAATAAAATTAAATCAAGTTAAACAGAATTAGGTAGAATTAAATAATTGTTTGATTGTTTTGTGGTGGAGGTAGAATAGTTCTTCGGATCCTAACGTATGATACATCATTGGAAAACAGAGGCGGTAGCGAATATGTTGAGACAGACACACATTGCGGTATTGCTAAGAAGGCATTACATCATATCTCCACAAGTGCACTACACAGTGTCCTCATTGTTAATGAACGTATAGTTACATACGAAATGACATAGGGCACTATGCATAAAAGTAGTTTAACTAAAAGACCAATTTTGATGTATTGACTTAAAGAATGCCTTCAGCTGAGAACAAAATAAACAACTGAAAGAATCCTATTATACTACATAGGTAAATAAAAGGGGAGGATATAATGAATATATTCAGATAGAAAAAGCAAACAAGCGACTACCAAAAGGTCACTACACAGTATCTTCATTAATAATAAACGTATAGCAACATACGAGATATCATAGGGCACTATAGATAAAAATAAATTTACCATAAGACAAATTTTGATTTATTGACTTAAAAAAGGTCTCTGGCTTAATACAAAATAAACAACTGATGGAATCCTAACATGACAAAAAAACAAATAAGGCAAATACTAAAAGGGCACAAGACAGTATTTGCGATATTAATGAATGTATAGCGACACAGAAGATGGTGCGCTATGGATAAAAATATATTTCCCATAAGATCCTGAGTCCAAAATAAATAACTGATCGAATTCTAACATGCGACATAGCTTATAAAGGGGGAGGATATAACGAATATATTTAGAAAGAAAAAACAAACAAAAAACTACCAAAAGGGCCCTACAAATCGTCTTTAATATTATTGCGACATTAACTTATAGCGATATACGACATATCACTATGGATGATAATATACATAAGTATTTGCTTTTTATATATAAAGCATAAGGTAAATATAGGTAAATTCGCTTTATTGTCACTATATATATATATATAATATATATATATATATATATATATATATATATATATATATATATATTGTTATAATATGTAAAATTAAAAATAATATTGGTTTGCTTTTAATATATTTCAAAGTACAAAATAAAAGATATTTCGAAGAAATGAAAGTCCATTATCCTGGATTAACTGTAGTAAACAAAATTTAATGATATGCATAAATTATTTTATTTGTAAAATATATTCGAGTGACGTGAGTGAGCTTAGTGAAATCGTGAACAATGCAAGCGGGTTTTCCAAATGGACTTGTATGTCGATACATAGTGAATAAGACAATAAAATAGAAATATTTAGAAAATATAATTCTCCGTTAGTTCTTAAGAATTTGTAGAAACTTTGATTGGAGGAGATTGAAAGAAGTGGGATAGGTATGTAGGAATGAGAGTTTAGCTAGATTTTTGAGGGAGAAAAGATATTCAGTTTTTTCCAAGGGTGCAAGGCGAACAGTCGTTGTTCTCTGGTGGTTTCCCAGAGGTAGTAAGCAGTAGAAGTGAATGTTTGTGAGTTTTCGTGGAGTAAGTGTATCTGACAGAAGCTGATCCAGTGAAATGTTGTAAGTTATATTTTTCTACTTATATTTCAAGAGTCACTGTTCAGGACAGAACGAGAGATTCAGTTTATCGAGAGGAGAAGAGGCTAGCATAATTTGAACGATACGTGCATTTGAAGGAGATCATTAAAGACGATGGGCTCGCAACAATTTGTTGTAAGATTGCTGATTACCTAGGGAACTGCTAAGAATAGATAGTGTAGGCTACAAGAAACAAAGATTTGGATAACTCATCATCAGAGAGATATTTTTCCTATTCGTCAGTTTCTCTTTATTAACAACACATTTTTTTAACAATTGCTTTAGAAAAGATTGGAATATTTTGATCAGGAGATTTAGAAGAACAATTTTGATTAGAAATTTTAATTTATATTGTATATACCATTAATTTTTAAAGGTTCATGTACATAGAACAAAATTTTGATATTCATTATATGAGATATTTTTTATTGAAGATATTTGAGTGTGAATTTTATTTCAATATATAATGTTGTATCATATATGTTTTTTATTATTCTGGTATTCTTTGGACCTTACCTATCATATGTAAAGCTAGTTATTGAAGCACGAGTATAACCCTGAGATAAGAAAATTAAATAGAGTGATAGAATCATAATTGCATCATTTAAATAAGTTTAATTAATTAAATAATTAGCTAATTAATTGCTTGGCGCACCTCAGACTTTTAATATAACATTTATATATATATATTTATATATATTATATATATATATATATATATATATATATATATATATATATATTCACAAGATGACAAGTAAAAAAACCATGTGGTCAGATCAGAAGTGCACTAGATCATACTCTATGTTTACTTGGATTATATGCACAAAGATTATTATTTAAAAAAAATTATAATTGACTGTAGATGACAATTGATTGTATTCTTCGTCACATGCAACGACGGGCAAATTTACTAGTTTTAAACAAGTAATTAAAATATATAATTAAATAGGCATATTAATTAAAAATATTAAAAATATTGAAGATAAAATATAAAAGTAAATACTTAATACTTTTTCAAACCTTAAACATTATTTATATTATATAAATAACCGCTTTAACCTTTAGGTAAATAAGTTGAAATAAAACTGCCTTAACCCTCGTACTCTGTCACCCCTATTTCACATATACATACCTTTGTCCTGTATCTTCTCCAGCTTTTGCGAGGCTAGAAAACTTGGAGAGTTCCATGTTTCTCATAAATGAGGGATTAATGCTGGGCAATTTGTTGTAGTGATCCTCTGCAGTCTGATGTCTCGAACTTCCAGATATTGAATCGCCCGAGTCTTCGTAATGATCGTGCTGGCTTACTGAGGAGCTTACAATAAGGCTTTCATCCAACCTGCAAGTGTGGGGTTTGCTATTATTGACAAAACTCAAATAAAGAGATTATGTTATCAACAAAATTAGTTTGATATCCGTATTAATGATAAACCGTTCCTCGCTGGGAACTTTAACAGCAGTTTACGATTTTGTTGGTTCTTAGGTTTATATTATGTAAATAGCTTCTAGTTTCAGTGTTCGCTTTTCATGAGTTACATTAGAGTATGTTACATATAGCAATTAAAGTTTAATCTATTCAAAACTACCCACACAATGCAGATGGTGTTATTAAATTATAATTTATTCCGAACAAATATTTATTGCGCTCAAATATGTGTATACAAAAGAACGGTAACAATTTAGAGAGTGATAATAAAGACTACGAAAATTGTGAAAATTATCTGGAATCACTTTGCAGTAAAAATAAACCTCATTATTTTAACAAAAAAAACATAAAGTTCTGTTATCAAACAAATTACATGTTAATTTATTAACAAAAATTAATAACAATACAAATGAGAAGTAAATAAATAAAATTTATACAGTATAGCCCAAAATAAACAGTACTGAATTTGAAAAGTAGATGTTTCTTTTTGCGCCTTTTTATACCTAAATTCACTAGTATAACCTGTTAAGTAATGCTTAAACAATTAATTAGTAAGGCCTAATTGTAACAAATGGTGTTCACTACAGAGGAGAAAGTGTTTGTGGAGGATTTTTATTTTCGCTCCTACGAAATTGGGCGACCTAATGGTGCTACGTATATGATCAATTCACACAACGGTTTAATAAAGGTTCTCCAAGCAATGCTGTAGTTTTAAGGGCTATTTTTTTATTCGAAAAATATGTCGCATCCACCAAAAGGTTATTAGCGAAGCAATAAAGTAATAACAAAGTTAAACATCTACAGATTGTACAAAATGTTTATGGATCTGAGATAATTCACTATATTGTCATAAGAACAGTTTTAACCTAGAACCTATGATAGAGCATTTTGGATCTTGTAGCGCTGTCTTTCTTGGTTATATTTACTACAAATTGTTAAAACGTGTTTGACTGTTATTCGGACGTTACACTGATCACATATAGGTGAATTTTTCTTTGTGAAAAGGTAGGATTGCGTTAATCTTTTATGTCTTACACGTAAACGCGCAACCGCAATTTGTTCTCGTCTATTGCGCGATTATGGAAGCCACTGAGACACATTATTTTTGATTTTATTTAGATTGAAATTAGTTTGAGACCACTGATTTCGTCACAAACACAACACTTTATTTTTAAAATAAGCTTTTAAGTCACTGGAAACACACTTGTCTATCGGCTCCGACAAATAACTTAAAATTGCCTCTCGTGCAGTCCTGTCAGCTTTTTCATTTACTGTTATTTCGACGTATGAGGGAACACATAAAAATTTAGACATGGAAGACGCTTCTTTCACGTTCATGAGTTTGGAAAGGCTAGTATTTTAGCAACTTTTCAAAAGGATGTTTCGGAAAAATGTGTTTTAATGAGTTTAGAGAGCTAAGGGAATCTGATATGATTAGGGCTTTTGTGAGTGTAAGCTCATTAAAAAGTTTCACAGCACGGTACATGGCGTAGACTTCAGCTAAATATGTGGTACATGCTTGGGGAAACACAAACGAAGATTGTTTTCTGAAGAAACGATTGATGCCCCCACTCCGTCTTCGGATTTAGATGCATCTGTGTAGATTTTATGGTAGTCAGGGTACTTTTTGTATTTATTAGGGCCGCAAACTTGGACCGAATCAGAAAACGGTGTGTATTAGATTTATCTAAATACCCCAGAGATGCAACACAAGTTGGTATATCAATCAGCCAAGGCTCGGGGTATTTATTATCCGAGGCAGAAAATGAATGTTTAGATTTTGAAGGTTCCATTGAAGTATCGAGTTTAAATGTTGTTAACAGATTTGGAGTTAGATGATACTAAACAACTGTCTACAGAAGAGTCACTATCTAAGTCAGAAATATCTTTCACTAAATGATTGTGTAGTTTTTTTTTGTAAACTTGCTTTTTATACATCTATAATTTTCATATTGATAGCTACTTTGTAAAAGATGGAGTAAACCAGCCATATCAGTAAATTCTTTAACGACGCTAATATTGTCGGGAGAACCTTGGACATTATCAATCAGTAAGGATAATTGGTGGTAATTTAAAACGGATGCTGGGGTATCATTATCAATGAAATTTTCAAGAGTTTTTCGTGTAGATGTGACTTAGATGAGCGCGGTTGTTTGGATTAGATAGTTTATGTTTTGCAAACAGATTTTCTGATAAAATTGCTGACTCTGAAGAAGGCGTGTCGATCTCACCAATACTGTGTTTTATGGAAAAACTTGCGTTTTTGCAATTGCTAATAGAGTTTTCACTTAGACGCTGTGGCTTTATTACATTTGAAAGTACTGGAACAAACTCATTGGTAGTGACAGAAGTCGAGCTTGAAGTTTTATTTGTAAGATTGGTTGAAATGGTTGTTTCAGAAAATTGTGGTGATGAATCAGTTTTATTAAAATTTTCTGCAGTTGTATCTAGTGGAAAAGTAATGCAGTTAAGTTATTTATATTTAATAAATTAGAAAAAAGCATCCTATGTAGTATATCTGGAGGATAAGAGTTTTCAATTAAAATATTTTTTAACAAATGAAGATCTTCTTGTAGATCGTCTGGATGAGAAAGTTTTAAAACACGTTTCTCTAATCCTGTTATAAGGTTCATTTTCATCTTATTTGGATGATGAGAGTAATAGCTTATAAATCTATTACTATTATATTATAAATGAACCTTATAACAGGATTAAAGGAACGTGTTTTAAAACTTTCTCATCCAGACTATCTAGAAGAAGATCTTCATTTGGTAAAAAATATTTTAATTAAAAACTCTTATCCTCCAGATATACTACATAGGATGAGTTTTTCTAATTTATTAAATATAAATAACTTAACACCATTTTTTGCTAAATCTCAAAACACTGCATCAGAACATATTATATTATTGTTCACTACCTTTCATACCATCATTAACTCCCAAATTAATACAAACACTAAAGGTTATTGACAATATCAAAATAGCAACAAGGAACATCAAAACCATTTCATCTTTATATTTCAAAACTAAATATCCTATAGACAAATTAGATCAAACAAATGTAGTATTCAGCATTGGTTGTACTTAGTGTGAAGCTGAGTATATTGGTAAGACTGGAAGAAATCTCTCAAATCGCATTATTTTTCACAAAAGTGATTGCAGAATTAAGAAACCATCTTGTGCTTTAGCAGAGCATGTAATAGACAAAGACCATATTATGGATTTTGATGATATTAAAATTTTATGTAGTGAAAGTAATAAATTAAAAAGAACTTTTTTGGAAATGGTTTGTATTAGCAAAAGTGATAATAATCTAAACAAAAGGTCAGAAATTCAAAATCTAAGCAAACTTTTTAATTAAATTATTTCTATGTAATTTATATATGCAATCAGTAAAATACAGTATCTCGGACATGTGATGCGGGCCGATAAGTATGGCATCCTGCGACTCATAATGCATGGAAAAATAGATGGCAGAAGAAGCATCGGAAGAAGACGAATTTCATGGCTGAAGAACCTGAGAGAATGGTTTGGATGCAGCTCAAAACAACTATTTAGAGCTACTGCCTCAAAAATTAAGATAGCTATGATGATTGCCAACCTCCGTAGCGGAGATGGCACCTGAAGAAGAAAAAGAATCAGTAAAATATCACATTTTGAATTTTCCATGTATTTGTTACATTTTTTCAGGCATCTATCAATGGTGAATAAATCTTCTTCTTTTTTGTTGCTAATCAAAAAAGAATTTTTTAAACAAAATTTTTTTTTTGACGATATGTCAAAAATAAAAATTTTTAAGTTGGTATTTATGACATTGAGGCTGATTTTTAGCTATTCAATTTTTGTTTACAAATTCAATTGTTTTTGTTAAGAAACTTTATCAAAATTTATTTCAGAGAAACATTTATTAGAATAGGACATTTTTTTAATAATATTTTTTGTAATTAATATGTTAGCAGCAGTTTTATATAAAAAACAAATTTTATTTGGTGAGTTAACAAAAAATTTTTTATTTCTAGTTCAACTTTGTAAGATATTTTGTATTTTTGAGAAGCTCTTGATAATAATTCTAATCACAATTGAAAGCTCGAGTAAAAAATAGTCAACAAATAGCCCCTTTTATTGACTCCAACCCATCCAAAACAGTTTTATGTTTTTTCCAAAGTACTTCTTTATATATATATATATATATATATATATATATATATATATATATATATATGTTTGTATTATACTATAGTATAATATAGTTAATGGTAAAGTAAACAGAAAATAGCTTTAGAACAAAAATTTTACAAATATAACCATTTTTTATGATTTTTGCTAGTACGTCTATTAATCCAATTTTTTCGTCTTTTAGTTTATTTTACTTATTCTTTGAAATTTTGCAAAATATCATCTAATATTAATTTTCCCGAGCGCTTTGGTACTTGTCCTTATTGATCTTTGTTTAAAATTACTTTCTTGCAAAATTTGGCGGAAGTTTCCAAGTTCACTATTAATTTATTGTGATCGCTTTTTCCAGGTTATTTGATTAATACACCAAAGAAATTTATTGATATCTTTATTAAAATGTTGTGTCACTAACTGTATTGATACAACTAGTAGATATAATTTATTACTATGGAATTACCCAATTTCCCAACGTGTGCCCGAAGCTGTAGGGTCATTTATTTTCATCTGAAAGCTGAATTATGGGATTGGAGAAGTTACTATCGATATTGCACATTTAATCAAGAAGGTCTTAGTAGTTTAGAACATTTGAGTGTCATCCCCAGTGGCAAACAAACTTTGAAATATGAAATTCTGCATGCAAAATACTTTTATTAGAAAAAGCTTTTAGTAACCAGTTTTGAATATTACTTCGCAAATTTCATTTATTGCTATTCTTTCGGACGGAACTTACAGTAA